TTTCCAAAATTAATTTTGCATCGTGGATTAGAGGCTTTTGTAGACATTTGTATACATTTGTTTCATCCTTTTTTTTGAAGGATCAAGATCCGAAAACTGAATCTAGATTTACTGTAGTCCCAAGATCATGCAAATACGCTGCGAAGCAACTGGTTTGGAGGATCAGGGTCCGAAAGCTGAATCTACATTTAGTCCCAAGATCATGCAAATAAACTGTAAACAAGGTGGTTTAGAGATGTTTGGAGGATCAGGATCCCAAAATTGAATCTGGATTTAGTCCCAAAATCATGCAAATTTGCTGTAAGCCAGGTGGTTTGGAGGATAAGGGTCCCAAAACTGAATCTGGATTTTGTCCCAAAATCATGCAAAAACATTCAAAACTAGGTAGTTTGGAGGATCAGGATCCGATAAGTAAGATTTCCAAAATTAATTTTGCATCGTGGATTAGAGGCTTTTGTAGACATTTGTATACATTTGTTTCATCCTTTTTTTTGAAGGATCAAGATCCGAAAGCTGAATCTAGATTTACTGTAGTCCCAAGATCATGCAAATACGCTGCGAAGCAACTGGTTTGGAGAATCAGGGTCCGAAAGCTGAATCTAGATTTAGTCCCAAGATCATGCAAATAAACTGTAAACAAGGTGGTTTAGAGATGTTTGGAGGATCAGGATCCCAAAATTGAATCTGGATTTAGTCCCAAAATCATGCAAATTTGCTGTAAGCCAGGTGGTTTGGAGGATAAGGGTCCCAAAACTGAATCTGGATTTAGTCCCAAAATCATGCAAATACATGCAAATACGCTGTAAAGCAGGTAGTTTGGAGGACCAGGATCCGATAAGTAAGATTTCCAAAATTAATTTTGCATCGTGGATTACAGGCTTTTGTAGACATTTGTCTCACTTGTTTTTTTTAGAGGATCAGGATCTGAAAATTGCTATTTCCAAAATTATTTTTTTTGAAAGTCCGTAATCTAGCTAATTTTTTGTCTTGGTTTCGGTCCCCAATCTTTTTCGCTAACTGCGGCGCCGAACCTTTTTTTCATTTCCATAATTCTGTCGATGACTGTATATATATATATATACATTACATCATATAAATCATATATCATATAACATAACAACATCAACGAATATCTCTCCAGGTGCCGCACGCGCCTTCACAGGACTGGAGCGCGCGAAGCCGCAGCCCGCACGACGCCGGCCCGGCCGCACTGAAGAGATACCTGGGAAAGTTATGAAGTTCAATGGATATGTATGATATGTACCTTGGAAAGCTCGAAAAATGGTGGTTTAAATATGGTTTGATGGGATTAGAACGGTTTATGATTTGATATAATGCATAGGTTGGTTTAAGGGAACACCCACAGGAAACCATGCTTTGCGCCCGCAAACACAATATGGTTTTACCTGCAGATTTTCCCTTAATTCATCTCTGTGAAAATAGAGCAAAACCGTTGGTTTTGTACAATGGGCGGACGGTGTTACCTGTATGTGTCATTTATGATAAGTGAAATGCTCCCACATTTGTGTTACCCTCTGGTTATTTAACATAGCCATGGAAAATGACCCATTTATAGATGGTTTACATATTAAAAATGGTGATTTTCCATGGCTAACTGTTAAATAACCAGAGGGTACTTAAACTATCCCCATGCAGTACCCCCCGACATGGCCGATCCTTGATACCCTGCAACACAACTGATTACAGTCGTGCAAATATGTACGTCTTACGATACATGGCAACATATTAAAGTAATCATTTCCCATATAAAACACCAAGAAACTATCGATATTATGGCATAAAACCACATATTTTGGAACCGTACAAAAAATGGTTGTTGAGTTACACTGGAAGTTACACTATGTAAAAACTATTCTGGGTATGAACGGAAAGTATGCTTTTACCATTAAGTATGGTTTTACCATCAAGTACGGTATTATTTTACAAAACATACACTATGTTAAACTATATTAAGTATGGGATTAGCCAGAAATTGGATGGTGTACCATTGCCGCGCACCATCTCCACCTGCGCTGCGGAGCCCATTCACCTGCGGCTCCGAAACGTTTGAAGGGTGAAACTACACGATGTTTCACATGGTTTTTCAATGTGTTTCATCTGTAAATATGGGGATGAAACTGATGACAGCTGCATGTTTTCCCGCATCTTTTCATCATGGTTCATCCAAATTTGGGAGTTTTTTCAACGACTAGGACCTCCTTGGACACACTGAGGGGCTGGGAACCACCTATTTCTTGGTCATGCTGGCAAAATCTATAGTAAACCATCCAATCATACCTTGATACAAAACCCCAAGCCCTCACTACTGATATGACCCAGCACTACCCAGAAAGAAATGGTGATCTATGATATCGCCTTCCAATGCTGATAGTCCTGCGCATAGTAGATGAAGTATCTACCATCCTGCACGGACCGGCAGTGCATTTTTGGGCTTCACTTCACAGAAAACATATATATATATATTATTATATTATATTATATTATATTGTATTGTATTATATCAAACATATTATATATTTAATATTTATCTCTATATATATATACATTTGTGTATGTTATGTATATATAATACGTATATATATATATATATGTATGTATCATATACATATATGTAACATATACATATATGTATGATATATGAAATCTATATACAATATAATGCATATAATATATATAATATATGATAGCAATAAAACATATAATATATATTATTATTATATATATATATATAACATATAATATATATATACATAATATGTATACATGTATAATATGTAATAAATATTTAAATAATATCAATATATATATATATATCCGAAACCACATACACAGACGAAACCATGGTTTTGGAGGGAAACACTGCATATTTCTCTCAGAGCAGCTCTGGCAGGGATGATGATCCAGGTCTGTTTTCACGTCAAACGCTTGTGCAGATATCTTGTCCATCAACTTGGCATTTACCAACCTCCGTGGCAAGTTGGAGACATACCCGTTCCCTTGTCAACCCTGTGGCCGAAAATAACATGCGATCTTGCTGTGCACATGTTCGCTTCTACAATTAAGAAGTTCGCAAACGCACACATGGTATGTGCTCAAAATTAGCGACCCCCAAATTGTTAAAGTCCTTCCTGACATATCTTTAAAAGGTAGTATATATGTATATTGCTAAACTATCTAAATTATTGGATGTACATATATATATATATATCAACATAAAAATAAGCTATATAATCGGAGGAGTCCCATTTTGTACCATCTTATGATTGTTTGGGGGTAACAACCCAAGTAGTCAACAAAATTTAGATATGCGAGGTTGACACTACAATAAACAATGAACAATTCCATCATCCAAGTTAGGTGAATACGATAAACATTGGTGATATGGGAATTAAATCAAACATGTCTAGTATTGACAATGCTTCTTTGGAGCCAAAGTTCGACCCCTACCACCCATATCATATCTCCAGGATATTTTGTTTGCTTTAAAATATGAAACCATTTGGGGATAATCTTTACTGTGATATGTATATATATATACTAACAATATACTAACAATAACGGTGCAAGGTGGGGTCGTTATAATTCACCCAGATCTGTAGCTAGGAAAGGATTTAACCATTGCTGTCGGGGTACAACCATTTGTTTTTTTAATCGGAAAAACACATTTTGATTTGTTTTCTTTGATGATGTTTCACCACCAATAATCCGGATCATTAGGGCACAACATCAACCACAATGATTGCCAAAATTGTGGAAATTCATTCATCTCCCTAAATTATTTCCTGGATGTTTAAACTCTATATACCCATATTAAATCCCCAGTAAACCACTTAATTTCCCATGAAATCACCATGAAATCTCCGTGTTTCTTTTGTCCTCAGACCACCATGTGGGTCGATCGCTCACCGTGATGCCGGTCTCCAGGGCAAAGACCTGCCGAGCCGCTCGTGAAGTCGGAGAAGCTGAGGAGTTGGACGCAACAAATGCTGTGGTAAACCCAGCAAATCATGGGATAATCAGCAGGAAATTCTGTGGGAAATTAATATATGTATATATATATATATATGTATGTATGTATATATGTATGTATGTATGTATGTATATATATGTATGTATATATATATATATATAATATAAACATAGTAATGGAATAGCTATGGGGCAACTATCATAAAACAATTGAATAGAGGTTTATTGGGTATACATATAGTAATATTACAATGGAATAGTTATGGGGCAAATAAGCCATCCCCAATAGAGGTTGATTGGGTAACCCCTAAAAATGGGATGATGTAAAATGACCTGCAACTGGTTGGCTTATTGGATGCTTCATCATTGGCTTTACCACATTAATACCATCTTCCTAAATTAAACACTGCCTTTTTTTGAACTCAAAAGAGTCTTGATCCAATAATCCAACAGTATGAATCCAATAGTACTGCCGGGTAAAGTCTTATCTTCCAATAATCCAATACTAAACTTAATGGCTTCTGGGTGTGAAAAATATGACCGGGGGATGAACAACAGTTGGGATCGGATAAGCTGATTGGATTTAGATTTTCTACACGAGACTTTGCTTCTTATGGAATTTTAGCTCATTGGAATTAGATAAAATCTCCCATCACCAGGTCGCAATAGATTCTGTATCAAAGTAGCCCGAGTTTCATCCAGTGAGCCTCTAGCCATGCAAGTTCCCTTCATGGTGCTGTATATTTTACCTACAAAACAGGGTCAATTTATGGAATAAACGTAAATATGGCATACATGGAGCATATGGAATAGATATGGAACACCCACACCATACAGTACATTTTTGTTGTAGTAAAGTAAACGATTGGTTTTCCATACCCTTAGTTAATTTACTGGAGGCTAGTTCTTTCAACCCGGTCATTTGGCCAGGGCTCAGAAGCTAGAATAGTTCTTCCGAACTTCCTGTGAACAGAAATGATGGCCTATGCTGGGACGTTCATCAGACTAATTTGGGTCCTGTTGATTTGACCAGTGGCCATATAAACCTATGACTGATTGGTGTCCTAATTGCTTGTGGCTTGGGACCTGTTAGAAATGGAACACGGACTACCAGTAGGATCAATGGGAATTTCAGGATCCTAAAATGAAGGTACTGTACCATATAAGGCCATGTTTCGTGGGGATATTCCCTTACATAGGCCTTATATAGGCCTTATATATGGTAGGTACCTTCAATTTAGGATCCTGAAATTCCCATTGATTAGGATGCATACGGCTAGTTTTTTCAGGGCTATCAGAAATTGGATAGCTGAACTCCTGGCAGTTTGGAATAGGTTCAATACTTCTGGGACCATCTGACGAAACAGCATGAACATGAATCCCATCCGCCATTCATATTAAACACCCCCAAGAAACCATGGTGTTTAATAAGAAAGGGGGATGGGACTAAGTAACAAACAAATTTGCTGTGAAAACAAGGCTACCAGGGTCTTGATGCTGATACAAACTTGTACCACTGCTTCATCAATCAAACATGCCATTTTCGTGCTAATATACAAAAATATCCTCATTTTCAGACACAACCACGACTGTTTTCTCATGTTTCTCCGAGTGGACACATCACGACTGGCGGGAGGGCTGTTTCAGCCGGGCCCTTCTTTTGGAAGACGCCCAAAGGCCCCGCAGTGCAACGTGGCTAACATCTGCGGCGGGGCGGCTAAGTTGTGCAGTTTCTGGTGCAATCATGTCATAACTCACCAATATCATGAATGTTAGTTTGAAAACGAGGAATGCCAATAAAGGAGTCTTCCCGTAAAATGGTGATGTTCAATGATTTTAGATTCTAGATGGGGAAATGATGATTTCACCATATTTCACCACTGCATTGGGGGTGTATATCCCAAACTCAGACACACCCAGCACTTAACAGTGATTCCATTCCTCCACACTCAAAAAATCCGGTCTAACCGGCTGGACCACTGTCACCCTTCAAAAGAAAAAGGAATGAGATAATTCTCCACATGGGTGTGTCTCGAAATAGGGCATACTCCCAGTTATCACCATTTTACTAGGGAAAATGGTCATGAACCGGTGGACATATAGGGGTATCCCGTTTTCAGGCAAACCTGTATAAAGCCAAGCAATAGCCATTGGCCTGGTCTTTGAACAGTCCACAGCAACACAGAAGGCAACTTATGTCATCATCTTTTTGGACAACCTAATCACTGATCAAATATACAAATCTAAAAGGAAACAAGGAACTGAATCTATGATATACCAACCAAAGATGAAATCGATATACATGCGCCACTCTTGGGTGGTGTACCATCTTTCACTCACCACTAGACCATAGATGAAAGCAGTGCTCCTAAAGATCTTTATCGACCTCTTCACTCACCCAACCGCAGGCAGGCAAAAGGAGCAGGTACCTAGTTAAGTACCCAAATGCCTGGCAAAATCAACCGGCTCTATGCAACACGGCTTCATGGACATAGTAATTAGTGGCAAGTATAACTTTTTGCTACTTTGCTCATCCCAGAAATCGAGCTGAGCATGAACACAATATATGATATATATATATAAAGATATATGGGTCTGTCAAAAAAATAGGTATCGAAATATCCACTGGTTTATCATCATGTTGTGCATTCAAAATGGCCACTTGGGCACTGTTTCTATATATTTCAGACAGCATCCGATCCAATCAGGTGGAACAGCAGCAAATGGCTTTGTCCATGTTTGTCCTTTTTAAAAGGGACCCCACATTTTGATGGTCAGATTTTTCCTGATTTTAAATTGCGGCAATTTAGGGTATCTCCTGCTTTCGCCAGCGCATCAATACGCTGCTTTTCTGTTGCTACTATCTACAAGAAGTATAGTAAGTCTTCACACCCAACCACTGAACATTTATCATAATGGCAGCAGAAAAGACTCGGCTACATGGTCTCACTCATAGCCTAAATAAATTACAGTGGCACTGAGTAGCCCACAGTCCATCTGCGGACTTCTTTCACTACCCATTGATCTTTCTGGGTAAAATTTTGCTCTTTGGCCCTCCATCTACTGGGGTAGCTCTCACAATATCTACGGCCAGTCTATCATCTGATGGCACCACTCTCATATGTCTCTGAAACCGTTGGGAAACAAGTAGCCAGCAGTGCTGTGTCATTGGCACCCGAAACCAAAGACATAAAACATGTTCTGTTTGACCTTGAACCTTCGTAGTGATGCCCATGGGTTACAGCATGGTGATTGGTCCAAACCCGCATATGTAAACGTGTAGATCTGGAAAATCGGATTGCAGATTGTTTTCCTTTTGGATTCTGATGGGCTGTTACATTTTTTTGATGTTGAACCTTGTTGAGTGATGATTTTGTCTTTAGTTAGGTTTCATTCGGACTTCAGACTGTGATACGTACTCCTCTCAGATCTTGTTGGTCACATGCCTAACTTGTTGACTTTAGTCCCATGCTTCATTTTCATTGTCTATAACACCTTTTGTTGTGGACATAATAGTGTTTCTTGGATTTCCAGGTTTGGATACCGAAAAGTTCTTGCCGATCTGCCACGGCAATGGAGGATGCACCTGCCGGGCCAGGAACCATCCGGATCTAGTTTGAATTATGACTATAATGCAGAGACAAACTGTATTTGTTGAAAGTACACATGCATATTTCCGTAGTTATGTGGATCTTGTATGGATACCTGAATACGTCATATTTCGTCATATTTTACATATATTAACAAACCAGAAACGTTGGGAGATTGAAGCTTCAGGTATTCCTTCCAACCAACAATGAACCGATATATATATATATATATATAGATATTAATAAAAAATAAATTTAATATTTACAACATATAATAGCAAACAATGTGCAGTGCTTAAAATTAATCTCACGCGTTTCTCACACCAAGGACTCATACACACACAACAGAACATTGCTGAACAAAATGGAAATGTACTGTACGAGTACATGTCGTGTTGAATGGTCTTGAAAAGCTGTGTAAAGGTTTTGTTGAGGCCTGTTACATTGTTTGTCCAGCCAACATAAAGACAATGACACTTTTGTTTCACCAAATCTTCAATGATCATTAATTACGGTAATACCACTGCATATATTACCCAGGTCCTGCCGTCGTAGCCCAAATTTCTCTGGATCAATACCTATTTCTATACCATTTTCAGGGAGATGAACATCAATGAGCATCCATTCACAAGCTATTTTGATGTTCACCAGGGGTACATGGTTTTGACCCACTGCCATATCAAAATGAAGTGCAATCATGTCAGTCCTCCAGTGTGGCGGTCCGAAAATGTGGTGGTAAAACAATAATCGGTTACCCCAAATATGAAAGAACCAACCAGCAAAAAATGGACGTGTGTTGCTGGTTAGAACATGGCTGAACTCGGCAAATTGCATGATACTGGTGATTAATAGCTTCTACCGGCATGGAGTGTGCAGTGTGGGTATGACATGGTATGACTACCTAGACATACAATGACATACATTTATGTTGTTAAATTAACCTATGTAGATGGAGAAACACATGAAAAAATAAAGACTACAAAACAATATCAACACAAAATCAACCTGTAAAGTGGTATAAACCTTTGGGAAATTTGTTTTGTTTGGATGGTAGCCCTGTGCGGGGAACCTCAAATCCATTGACCCAGCCCTTCTTCCACCTCTCAGGCGTTGAACTGCGGCGGATTTTCTTCAATCACCTAGTCGAAATGGCAGGTGTTTAAAGAGGTTCCTGCAGCTATGGCCCTTTACCAATTACTCATAACTATTTATAACTTGTAACCCCATTTATAGAGTGTATAACCCCATTTATAACCAGTTATAACTTTATAACTCATAAACGGCCAGAACTGTGAGAATGCTTGATATTGCGTTGGTATTTTCATTCTTTAAAATAATGTCTTTTGTTTTTTTTGGAAGGTAAGCCATTATGTATACAGAGACCCATGCGTAATGTTTGTTTGAGCAGCCCCACCAATGGGGACCCGTCCCTCAAACTCGCATTATAACCGAGCAGGAAGCCGGGCCCCTTTCGGGCATCGCAGCTGAAACAAGAGTGGCCAATATGAAAACCGAAACACTAGTAAGTAATTAATTGATATCTACATGATGCTTTGAAGTCATTTTGTTTAAATCAATGTTTGGCAATCTAGGTCCTTATATTTTTTAAACATTGATTTGGCCCACTGCGCTCTGGCTACAGTCTCGTGCGCATTTTGTTGACGGCTTTGTTAGATCGAGGCAAACCGCGGAAACACATACCCTCCGTTGGCGAACCCTGGAGCCATCACACCTCTAATACCATATTATAATAATTCGGGCACTTCCTTGGTTTCACGCGCAAATTCACATGCTCGTGGACTGTGGCTGTGATCTAATAGTTCGCTTCGCAGCTGCGTGACGTGTGGTTGACACATGATGATGTGAAAACTGATCATGACCTCATTTGTCCGTAACTCAGAAATTTGTTTACGAAGCTTCCATTTAACAAAAAATGGTAGTAACAAAAACAATCAAAAAAAACAACATTGTTTGTGGGCATTTGCTGTTTAATATTCTACATTTATCATCATGATCATGAACATGATCGATCATCATGATCATGATCATCATCATCCTCCTCCTCCTCATCATCATCATCCTCATCCGTCCCTTTCTGTGCGACCGCCCGTCACGCAGAGATTGCGCGCCTTTTTCTTGTTCTCAGTCAGGGGCCCATCCTGAGCGCCAGCTCTCCAGCCGAGAATGGGAATACGATGGTGACATTGCGATGTATAAAAAACATATTAAAACATGGATATGGGGGTCTCACCATCATCAGGGATTCCTTTCAATCTAAATGTTCAGAAAAATGGGTATATTAACACTTATTAATTGGGGGACGATCATCTCCACTTATCGGAATTTAAACCATGTTTTGACGGGGTGCGCGCGGAATCAATGTCCACAATCTCCAGTCCCAGGCACTGGTGGCGGGTACTGAAGACTAACACTACAAGAAACTGGCAAACGTGCACGCATACCAACGAATTACAAATTGGCGTCAACCTCCACCGTTCGCACGGTCCTTCCTCAAGTGTTTCATGTAGGCCGCATATTTGTTGAACCGATCGGCCGTGCAAAGTTCATCCAAAGGAGAAACTACCATAGTGGGTGTCAGGTTAGCTTTGTAGATGGGTTTACAAAGAACTCCATTTCCTTCAAGAGAAGCAATGTAGTCCCAGGTGAACTGAACTGTTTCTGAAGCGTTTGGGATAGCAGGTCTCCTTGCCACACCTGCTACTGCTGGTTTGAATCCCAATCGGATCAGGGATCCGCATTTTGTGATAATTGGTGCAGGTATCAGTTTACACTGTAGTATAGTTTCAAGATTCTGTATCATGTGTCTCATGCAAAGTCCTTGTAAAGCTGCTGTACGATGATTGCTCGGAAGTAACATGGCATCGTCACTCCTGTACGGAACGTATTTCGACTCGGCACCTGATCCAGAAATTCTGACCGGAAATTGGAAACCGGTAGCCAAGTAAAAGGAAACGGCCATCTCAAACCAAGACATCCCCCAATCTGAGGAATCCATTTCATTGGAATCGGCTGGCCATCTCAAAGAGTCCAACCAAGTCTTCAATGCCTTTCCAAGGTTTGATCCTTGTAGACACAGTTGATATTGTTCATCATCTGCTTCAATTTTTGGGATGTGAACAAAGTTGTCAGGTCCAAAATTCTTCAGAAAAGTGCAAGCTTCAGTCCCCATCAGACTAGAGTCAAAAACCCCAACAACCGGTTGAGGTGCAGCTCGAGCATGTTGAAACTGAGTCGAGGGCGTGCCATTTGCTTTTTTGAGGTCATGCAACTTTTGTAATCTACATCTGTTGAATTGCACCAAATACGCCAGAAAACTGCTAAAGTTTCTTTCCTCTGTACGCACGTGATTTGTAAGGGAAGTCGTCAGTGTTTTGATGTCAGGTGGCAGAGACTCGAGTGCTGAAGTAGCTGCCAAGTCAGCGCAATGATTACCCACAAATTTCCATGTCCTCGTAGCATGTGGCCTGTTCAAAAGGAACATGACTCTTGACTTTGAGGATACGAAACCGGTCTGCGTCCCAAAGTTGGTCAATTTCTTGAATGATGTCAACATTGGGTATCTTGTGGGCAATGCACTGCCAAGTTCTCTTCTCAATGGCCCGAAGCACCAGGCATACGTAGCTTGCATCGGTAACAATTTCCGCAGTCGCACTTGAGGCATATTTTTTGAGGGATCTGAGAACAATAAGAACTGCAAATAGCTCTGCTCTCGACACATTTTGGTCACCCGGAACCAAACCAAGGGAAACGGTTTTGAAGGTCGGAAAATGTGGTTCAGGTCCAAAGGCAAAATCAAGGGACATCCTGCGAACCTCATGTGAAGGTGCCACATCTTGAACAATCGCCCAAGAGGCCACCCTGGCCGATGCGATTTGGGGGTTAATGGCACCACCATCCGTGAAAAATCTGTAGTGACCACTCGCTGTAACGGAAAACTCCGGTGTCACAGGTTCTTTGATAAGTAGTGACCATGCCCTGAAAAGGATATTGTCAGCATGTTGTCTCGGGACGGGAAGGTACATCCATTCAGGTCTGGAGACCGAGATGACATTGCACACATCAACCCAATCCTTCCGTAGTTCCTTCATGGCTTCACATTCAAGAAGTCTGTGTTCACGTGTGTCAGGAAGACCACACAACTCACAGTTGCCACTCACTTTGTCATCCCATTTGGCTTTCATGGATTCTGTCTGATAGCCTCCCACCAAATTAAGCTTGATCAGTTGCTGTTCTTCGTCTTGCATCTTCGAGAAAATTCTGATGGAGAGAGCCGGATCAGGTAAGAATTCGCCAAAGCCTTTCCTGTCCGTCATATTGAGGATTGAAAATTCCACATGAGCTTGAAGACATTGACAATTCTTTTTGTATGATCGTTCAAAATATTGCACTTGAGATGATCAGGACCAGAGATGTCACCATTGGACTCAATTGTCCAACCCACCTGATGAAGGTACGTTTTGAAGGTTGACGCAGGTCCAAAAGGTCTTTTGCCTTCATATTCAACCATGGCCTTCACTGTGTTCAATGCAATTTCATGGGCAGTATTGGACAATCTACGGACAACTCTTGCGCACTGACACAGAGTATGTAGAAAAGGATCCAACTTTCGATACCCCATTTTGGCTCCGCTCCGGCGTAGCCAATGGATGATTCCCTGGGAATTCGCCCTCGGGGATTGCGGTGGTTCCAATGGCAATCGAACCTTCTTCCACCTGCTGACTTCTGCTTCTCTTATGAAAAAGACACCCGGCAAAGAAACAAATGTTGAGTATGATTGTTGATGTGTAATATCGTCCTTCGAAACGGCAAAAAACAACAAGATTCAAAACATCTCAAAACCGGTGTAACAAACCAACCACAAGTTGTCCACTGAAAGCAACATTTGGAATTCAAACTGGTCCTCGCATTGTTTGAGAGCAATTCACTGACTTTGAAACATAAACATGAAGCACGGGGTTCTATTATGTTCTATTATCTTGTTTTTTATTGTCTATTCTGGGGCATCGTAATTATAAGCCATAAGCGGACGCAATTCAGGAGCAAGTACTTCTTTGTGTGTTTATACCTACCTACCTACCAAACTATCTATCTATCTGGCTACTTGTTTTTGATCTGTGTTGTCTTTTTATCTGTTTTAACTGTTTTATTTGGTTTAACTGTTTTATCTGTGTTATATGTTTTATTTGTTTTATCTTATCTTATTTATCTTATCTATCTATCTAATCCTATCTATCTAATCCTATCTATCTAATCCCTATCTAATCCTTTCTATCTAATCCTATCTATCTAATCCTATCTATCAAATCCTATCTATCTAATCCTATCTATCTAATCCTATCTATCAAATCCTATCTATCAAATCCTATCTATCAAACCCTATCTATCTAACCCTATCTATATTTTCCTATCTATCTAATCCTATCTATCTAATCCCTATCTAATCCTATCTATCTAATCCTATCTATCTAATCCTATCTATCTAATCCTATCTATCTAATCCTATCTATCTAATTCTATCTATCTAATCCTATCTATCTAATCCTATCTATCTAATCCTATCTATCTAATCCTATCCATCTAATCCTATCTATCTAATCCTATCTATCTAGTCCTATCTATCTATCTATCTATCTATCTATTCCTATCTATCTATCTATCTATCTATCTATCTATCTATATATCTAATCCTATCTATCTAATCCTACCTATCTAATCCTATCTATCTAATCCTATCTATCTAATCCTATCCATCTAATCCTATCTATCTAATCCTACCTATCTATTCCTATCTATATATTCCTATCTATCTAATCCTATCTATCTAATCCGATCTATCTAATCCGATCTATCTAATCCTATCTATCTAATCCGATCTATCTAATCCTATCTATCTAATCCTATCTATCTAATCCTATCTATCTAATCCTATCTATCTAATCCTATCTATCTATTCCTATCTATCTAATCCTATCTATCTATTCCTATCTATCTATTCCTATCTTTCTAGTCCTATCTATCTAATCCTATCTATCTAATCCTATCTATCTAATCCAATCTATCTAATCCTAACTATCTATTCCTATCTATCTAATCCTATCTATCTAATCCTATGTATCAAACCCTATCTATCTAATCCTATCTATCTAATCCTATCTATCTAATCCTATCTAATCCTACCTAATCCTATCTAATCCTATCTATCTAATCCTATCTAATCCTATCTAATCCTAATCCTATATCTATTCCTATCTATATATTCCTATCTATCTAATCCTATCTATCTAATCCGATCTATCTAATCCGATCTATCTAATCCTATCTATCTAATCCGATCTATCTAATCCTATCTATCTAATCCTATCTATATATTCCTATCTATCTAATCCTATCTATCTAATCCTATCTATCTATTCCTATCTATCTAATCCTATCTATCTATTCCTATCTATCTAATCCTATCTTTCTATTCCTATCTATCTAATCCTATCTATCTAATCCTATCTATCTAATCCAATCTATCTAATCCTATCTATCTATTCCTATCTATCTAATCCTATCTATCTATTCCTATCTTTCAAACCCTATCTATCTAATCCTATCTATCTAATCCTATCTATCTAATCCTATCTAATCCTACCTAATCCTACCTAATCCTATCTATCTAATCCTATCTAATCCTATCTAATCCTACCTAATCCTATCTAATCCTATCTAAGCCTATCTAAGCCTATCTATCTAAGCCTATCTATCTATCTATCTATCTATATATCTATCTATCTATCCATCCATCTATCTATCTATCTATCTAATCTATCTAATCTATCTAATCTATCTAATCCATCTAACCCATCTAATCCATCTAATCTATCTAATCTATCTAATCTATCTAATCTATCTAATCTATCTAATCTATCTAATCTATCTAGTCTATCTAATCTTTCTAATCTATCTAATCTATCTAATCTATCTAATCTATCTATCTATCAAATCTATCTAATATATCTAATCTATCTAATCTATCTAATCTATCTAATCTATCTATCCATCCATCCATCTATATAATCCTATCTATAATCCTATCTATAATCCTATCTATAATCCTATCTGTAATCCTATCTATAATCCTATCTATCTATCTATCTCTCTCTCTCTCTCTATCTAATTTATTAATCAAACAATCTACCAATTTATCTATCTGTCTATCTACCTACCTATCTACCTACCTATCTACCTACCCACCTAACTATCTACCTACCTACCTAACTATCTACCTACCTATCTACCTATTCCACCTATCTACCCTACCTATCTATCTATCTACCTACCTATCTATCTACCTACCCACCTAACTATCTACCTACCTACCTAACTATCTACCTACCTATCTACCTGTTCCACCTATCTACCCTACCTATCTATCTATCTACCTACCTATCTACCTACCTATCTATCTACCTACCCACCTAACTATCTACCTACCTACCTAACTATCTACCTACCTATCTACCTATTCCACCTATCTACCCTACCTATCTATCTATCTATCTACCTACCTATCTATCTACCTACCCACATAACTATCTACCTACCTACCTAACTATCTACCTACCTATCTACCTATTCCACCTATCTACCCTACCTATCTATCTATCTACCTATCTACCTATCTATCTAGCTACCTATCTATCGATCCCAGTATATAACAGTATATAAAATATATTTACAGAGTGAGAGAGAGAGATTTAAAAATACACTATGCATATCTCCATGGCAATCCGACTGGCCCAAAGCTCCGGAACCAAGCGTCTCCGTCCAAGGAAATGTACTCGTTGTCCACGCGCGGAGAGTGAGAGAAGAGACCAACCAAGTCCTGACGAAAGGTTGGCTGCCCGAAAAACACACAAGGGGTGCTTGGATCAACAAATGGTGAAATGCTGGTCCACCTGAATATGCAAGATGATGCAAGATGTATGTGTTCATCCATGACCAACACACTCTTGGCCCATGACCACCCATTCTGATTAAATGTGTAGTTCAGGCCTACCTAGGTTGCCAGTGAGAACCAGTATGAGACATATAGCAATGGATTGAAATTCACAACATTGATTGCAGGACTCTTTGGTGGTGAAGCCATCTGAAAAAAACAGGAAAGTCATTGGGTATCATCATACAAGAAAGGATGAAGATGATGCAGGTTCAAGAGAGAATCTACCGGAAACAATGGATCCACTATGCTTTTTACAAGGTAATTACCCTCTGGTAAACACATAACTATGGAAAATCAGCATTTTTCATGGGTATATCAACTAGAAATGGCAATTTTCAATAGTGTTAAATTGCCTAAGGGTAAATTGCTCGGGCATGCTGTTCACCCGACCAGGAGCCAAGCCGTTTACCTGTCCTGACTTGACTTTTTCATGAAGAGGCTGATGGAATGGCTATGTTCCTTGGCCAAGACACAAAGGACCAACCAAAAGAGTGGACATGTGGCAGGGTAAAAGTCATAGTACTTGTGTATATAATATAATATGAAATACATAATATATCATTACCATAATGTATCAACACATCCAGTATTTGTATATACATAAATATGGAGCATGTAATATGTATGTGTCTACATGCACACTGCTTAGTCAATCAGTCTCCCCATACGGCAAGGTTCGATGTGGACGCGACTCCAACTCTCTCTCTCTCTCTCTGAGGTGTTTCGGGGTGAACACCAGGGAACTGGTCCGTGAAGTGTCCTATACCGCCTGTATAGACAAACAACCATATTCATCATAGACATCCCCGCGACTAGGTTATACACTTTGCTGAAGTCAAGGAAATGCACAAGTGAAGGCATAACCAGCCAGGTTCAGCAGTCAACCATCCTCATTGCCGTGTTCTTGGTTTTTTGGCTTTATTATCTCCACATTTTGAGGGTTCAACTAATACTCAAAAAAAGCGGATAATAATCTCTATACTATTGATGGATGTATGTTCACATGTTTGACACTTTAATCCTCCATGTAAAAAAAACATGTTGCTTCAAGCATCAACCCTTCATCTGCCGAAGTACCACAATAGCCTCCTTCCACTCACGGCTGGTGTCTCGCGCGACATCTGCCAAGGAGTGTTCTGCCAGCAGGGGGATGAAGTCCTCATCCTCCAAATCACCCGCGGGCTTCGCGGGGAACTTGAAGATCAACGCCTGAGGACTCGAGTCGAGTGACTAGGTCCTAGGTGGCTCCTTGGTTTACCTTAGTTGGGTATGGTTTCCTTGGTTTACTTAGGTAAGCAGTGAAATAACTGGACTAATCCTGCCTACCTTAGTGAATTGGGGTAAACAAACCACTAAGTGGGCTGAACCAACGAGAAGAAAACCAACATTTACGAAGAAATCTGGTGGTGCATAACTAGCGAAACAAACAAAAAACAGCCAGAAAGAAAGACTGGTAATGTGGGATGAATGAGAAATCTCACATTCTTGGGTGGTTAAAAAAAAATCTTCAACTTTACCCATAAACCATTTATCATATCAACAGTTATTAATCTTGAAATATCAAATGATTAACAAATTAACATTTATTAACCCATGTTAAGCCAAGCATGGGGTATTAGCCATCCCAAGTCGGCTGAGCATCTTGACTCGACCAACTTGAGAAACAACAGAAACATAAGTGACATAGTGAAGCAGGATTGGGGGGTTATGTACATATACATATACACAAAATATATAAACATATGTAAATATATATATATATACACATTATATTTATGACATTTATTCATTCCCTTGCCGCTTGTCGACGCAAGAAGATTAACCCTCAAAAATGGGTATGGTTCATACAATGAAGCCCCAATGGATGATCAAGTGTAGATAGGGGTTTGAACTTTTCAACTTGGGGTGGACCAACCGGCAGCCCCATCATATTTTCACCTGCTAAGAGATAAGCAAAATCCATAGCCCAAGGCGCCAGTTGCAGCAAGGAGAGCATCATGCCGATGATGTTGGGACCCCACACCGGCACCTTCCCCGTGCGCACGCCCACTGTGAACCAACAGCTGCTGTTCAGGAAGCCCAGGAAGCTCTGCATCACCGGGAGCGTCCTGAGCAAGGGTAAGGTGGGGGCGTCTGGGTTTTGGGCTCCACAGAGATGATATGTAGAGAGATATTATATAGGTATATGATTATCAAAAATGCTTCTAGATGGCTGCGATAGATAGTAAAAATGTATATGTATAAGTATAGCGCTATACACATAGCTGCGATAATCATCATCCCAAGTAGAAGGGCAAAGACAACATCATATTTGGAATAAACAAGTTGGTACTTTTTACCTCTCGCCGTGGTACACCTCATGACACCTCATTGCATCCCGCCCAAGGCCTCATCCTACAAAGGTTTATCCCGTCCAAGCATCTCAGAGGACTTTGTTCTCAGCACTTCTTTCATACCTTGGTGACGAACATGAAGCACCAACTTCCAAGGAGTACCCAGCATGCCACTGGATAGCCACAAACAAACCAAAGGTCATTGAGAATGATTGATCCAAATGCATCATGTTGGTGCAAACAAACCGATTCCTTCACGATGTCAGCCAAAATTCCATGGAAGATCGTGCCATGTCATGACATTCACCACAGTCCAAAAGGATGGAACATGACACGCCGATGACATGCAAAGATCAACGTCCCCCCAAATTGAAATAGTGGTATACAGCAATCGCGGATCATTGCATTAAAAAAACAAAAAAAACAACCATCTTCCAACAAAAACATCAAGGGTCTGTAATGGTTCCAATCCCACGGCCATCCCATGGTGACGTCCCAAGGTGCTGGACAAGGGCGCGCCATACATGATGATTCCCACCATCATCCCCAGCACGCCCACATCAGCCGCTCCCCCAAAGGCCGCGTAGGCAAAGATCAACGCAGCAAGGAGGCCGGTGAAAGCCGTGGCGAAGGCCTTGGTGGTGAAACCCAAAACGGAACAGTCCCCTCCGGTCCTAAGTCATGGGTACCCAACAATGGAAGGCTGATAACGGGTAATCTTATCTGGTTGGTGGTTGACCTACCCCTTTGAAAAATGATGGAGTTCGTCAGTTGGGATGATGACATTCCCAATATATGGAAAAATAAAATTCATGTTCCAAACCACCAACCAGTTATGAAAATGGATGAGAACTGGGGGTATCCCCATTGTAGGAAACCTCCATGTAGATAGGGAAAATTCATCATCTATGAATCAACTTTGAGAGCCACTGGTCCTACCTTTCGCGTACACCCAAGTCGCATAGAAGGTTAATGACTTGCTGAATAACTTGAATCTTGTCCCATGATTTTCAACCGCATCAAATCCTCACATGAACCGCAACCGAAAATATAAGTTTATTACCTATACACTAGATATTCACATATTATACAATCCCCAAACGATTGGTGATTGTAATTAATGCCCAATAATACCAATCCAAATTGTTATTGGATGGTGTTTACCACCGTATCACCATTCTATATGACATATTGTGTCGCTTATCCCGTAAATCATCGCGATGTATCCCTATGAAATGGGAGGTACAGTAAGCTGGTATTATTACAATGTGAGGTCCCCTCCGTTATGAGTTGGTTTAGATTCGCCCCAGTAACTATAGTTATAAGTACCATAAACCATAGTGAAATTGGAGTTGTGTTCACCAACTTAGCTATCGAACGGGGGCTTCACATTGTATTATTGTAGCATCCCAAATTGGAGGCTTTCATGGTGATAGATTCCCCATGATCATCCTCCAAATCTCTTGGTTACTTTCCTAGGGGTTTCCTAAGTCATAGGGGTACCCCCAAATGGTAAGGGACAATCCTATGAAAATGGATGAGAACTGGGGGTATCCCTATTTTAGAAAACCTCCATATAATCACCCTAGTATCGCTATCATTTGGGGCTTGAATCGCTACATTAAGTGGCAGATTTTTCATAGTTCAATAACCTGAAAATAGCTGCTATCAGACAGTATGGCCTTTTGGTGATGATTTCCCAAATGTAGAGCATCATTCCAGTGACGTCACGGTGTGAGGCCATGATCAAATGAACCCAGATCCCACTATATCGAAAATTAAGAAATGCTTATAGAAGGGTGATCCGATATAATATATATATATAATATACACATATTTCCTTCATATCTTCCATCTATATCATCCCTATGATTCATATAGGTATTCAACTATTTCTATGGCCATGTTCAATAGCTAATTATGTTAAATATGATAAATTACCAGAGGCTAATCCAAAAAATTCTTCTTGGCTCCACCACATTGGATCTCCGAGTCGCAGCAGTGCGATCCCAGTGCTTGGCATGCGGCTCCTTGCGCGCGAAGCACCAGCAGGCCGATGTGCTGAAGATGCCAACGAAGACCTAGGTGCCCTGGGTGCCCAAATTTTAAAAACACATGGTGCCATTAATATGATAAATCTGGGTAATGTTGGTAAAACAGCAATAAACCACCCATTTGGGAATGGTTTATACCACCTATTTACGGTGATTTGGGGGATGGTTTATTATTGTCTTACCCACATTAACTTCAATCAATGTCATGGGCTTTCTACATGTGACATGGCAACTGCGTACTGCAATAAGACAATGTGGGGATATATATATATATATACACGTATATATAATGGACTAATAACTAGTTTATAGCTAACTAGGGACGATCCGACTACCCGTAAAACTGGTCAAAAACACAGAACTTGTGGTGTGAACATACGATTTTTGAAATACGTCCTTGGAGGGTCTAGGGATTTATGACATGATTCTGATGAGAGATATAGCAACATATTTTATATACTATCCTATAATCTCCTATTTTGATCTATGTTGGGGACATTTTGGGATTATCAACTCGTAGCCACCGTACAATGGGGAACATGATGTTCCAAACGATTAGATTTGGGGCAGCGACAGGAAGACTATAGTAGGAGAGACCCAATGCTCGCCATCAAAAAAGGGCTTGTTTACCATCATCGGTTCAATCATCACAAACAAAATGAATCAAACCAACATCAAACAATGACCAGAACTGGTTGCACACATGAATAATTTTAGATAACATGCCAACACAGCTTCAAAAAGTGAGTTCTTAGTATTTAGTGAGTTAAGCAATATTCCGATTATTTCCGATTCCAAAAAACATCAACTACATAAAACAACTACATTCAACTACCCAGCGAACCCATCGAGCCGGAGCAACTCCATAGGCGTTGCACGGAACGACAGGTGGGACCGGCAAGAACAAACCATAGGCCAGCCTCCACGGCCCGTGCGCTGCTATGGGAGAAACACACGTAAAAAAATGTGTTTGACCAAGGATTTAACTAAAGAATTTGGTATTTCAGCATCAAAACATGGATTTAACATGATTTAAACATCAAAAACAAGCGTTCAAACAACACAATTGGGAACTCAACCAACGAATAATTGACTGACACAATTGGTTTCTCTGAAAATGGTGGAGATCTAAATCCTCCAAAAAAAGGCCATTCAACAATGGGGGATTTATATGTGGGTCAAACTTATGTTTCAATCCATTGGACTTGGGGGATGACATGGGTATTAATATAGACTCTTAAAAAAACACAAAGCCATATCATTGCAGCGACTAAAGTCCAAATTGAGTCAAAATAGAACCTAAAAATCAGGGTACACCAAGTATCAGTTCCTTGGACGTGCATCTTCTAATATAATCTCTGTTTCAGAAGCCCTTTGAAAGCCAACAGTTTTGGGGATAACCCCCAAACCATGCTCATGTTATTTCAACTGCCCTTTGGCAGTCTTCCCCATCTCTCCAAGCAACTGAGTGATGCAATTCAGCGAGAAGCAAAGCAAGTTGATGGGATTGACGTACCGCACTTTCGCTGGCGTGCCACAAACATCGATGGCCCTCAGGAAAACTTCCAGCAAATCTCATCCATGCAAATGGGCATACTATGTCTTTCGGAGTTCCCTGTTATCCCTGTTGATCTATTTTTCTGCACCCAGAAAAAAAAGCACTGCGGTTTTGACCAATACGCACATCCTTGTTGAACTGGACGTTGGGAAGCGGCGCTTGGATAGATTCTAATCATCTAAGTACCTGCAAATTGAAGAACTAGAACCAATATGAACCAATGACCTGCTCTGCGAGGTGTGGATCTTCAAGCTCTGCACATGCGAAGTGGCCATGCAACAACATCATGTAATAGCCTATAGCCAATCCCAATCGCTACATTGATCTGTGTTTTCCCAAGACATCCCGAGGATTTCGGCGAGATGCTGAGACAACGGAGCCGTCATGAAGAAGACCGCGAAGCAAACCGCCACGGTATCCAGGATGAAATCCGCCGCCATTGTGCCAAGAGGTGAATCGCAAGGCGCGCGCCTTGCGCGCAGTGCGGCGCGGTGTAGCAGTGCAGCTATGTGCGGCTCGGTGCATGGGATGTACATTGAAACCTTCTGAAACATCTTGAAACTTCATATGCAAAGTAACTCATACTTTGCTGTTACATGCTGTAATTCCGTACTTCGGAAAAAATGCAGGTCCTGATTTGTAGACTATGTAAAAAGAAAATCTTTGCAGAGCTGAAAACTCTGGCGAGTGACCAGTGAGAACAATATTTGACTTCTCTTTTCAATCCTAATGCTGCAGCCGGTGAGCCAAAGAGGGTGCACAGAGTCCACATGAGTCCACAGGTCAATCTTGGAAGGGGGGCTTTCTTGTAGTATGAAAGCCATTTGGGTAGGATGACTCCGCTGAAGGACATCGTGACTTGCTGCTGGGTAAACTTACTTTCTCGTTGTTGGGAGTCGAAACTGAAAACTCTCCGTGTTTGTTGTGCATGGCAAGCATTGTTGGTTTTGATTTCATGACTTCCTATCCTTTTGTCAACATGTTTCAACTCCCCATCTCGGTCTGGCAGGTGAACTCCATGATTGAAGCTTCGTGTCACCATTTGGCTTTGTCCACAAGTGATGCAAAAAAACAGATTGCGTGAATTGGGAATGTGATGATTATCATCCCTTAAACGGTGGCTAATCCCTGATAAACAACTTCCAACATGTTTTGATCAGTTTAACCCTAAATAGACCTTAGTGGATTAAGAACGCTCTTAATCTGATGACTGCCAGGCACCTGGTTAAGGCCGTCCTCGATGAAGCCCGACAGGGCCAGAGCTGGGACCTCATTAAACCCTTTTCGAATCTGACAATCGCTGGGATCTTTGGATGTTCAATGATGTTCATACCCCCAAAGAATGGTGCCATAGATTCTAAGCCATCATCCATGATCATGTGTCTGATGTTATAACTGGCAAATTTTGAGTCAGCTACAATTTGCTCTAATAGGTATTGACCCGTCCAAATAAAATGGTGGGAAAATATGATGGTGAGGAAACAACATGGTGGCACAACAAATTGATGCAATGTTAAAGGACTTGTTTGGGTTAAAACATGAAACATGGTGTCACTCTTGAGGGGTGTACCCTTAAGTGTACCCAGCAAGAAAGACAGCAACGAACCACAAACAATTTGTTTTAGTTGCATATAACTGGTATGACAGTCTTTTAGATTTGTCATGGCGAAAACATTGACATATCAATGTTTATGAACGTGTTGTCCTATCCAATTGGCAAATTATTGCAAATGATTAGGCACTGAACCACTCTTGGGGATATGTTTTGGCATTTGCCCATCAAGAGAGAATGGGCAACCAACCAACAAAGGGCCACCAAGTCAATGGATTTCTGTGATCAATGGGCCACTAACATGGCTATCTAAATCTACCTAATCACCAATAAAGGACTGGGCTAGCATCTTGCTAAGTATCTAAGTGGGGTGAACCAGCAAATACGTTCTACAAAAAACATGCCCCATCGGCCTCGCGCAAGCGGTAATGTCCAGACAATGTGACTCGTAGATCCTGCAACAAATCCATTCATTTCTCGAAGAAAAAATATGTGTAAAATGCGCCAATATATGCTTCTAGCGTTTTGCGTCTGACAAAAGTCGTAAGCACGTATATATGTGCATATATATATATACTTGTATATATATATATATATATTAATACATACTATCCATCAAACACCTCCAGCCAGTGTAAATATACAATAATACACAATAAACAACATGCGTACGGCATTACGGTACATGTAAAACGCAAAAAGGATGTACCACTGGTTGCAACTCCTGTCGACGGACGGAAGAACGCCGGGCCTGAGCAGCGAGCATCACAGGCCCTTCACACATTTATCTAGCACACATGGGGAATGTTCACTAACCCTGATATGGGATATTATATATATATATACACACACATGGTCTGTATATGTACATATTGATATCCATCCAGGCAGGGAGATCACTTTGGCCATATAAATTTCCATCACTTTGGTCATACATCATCCTATGACCGATGATGATCACTTCGGGCAAAACAATCCAATCACTTTGACCATAAATCAGAGTTTCGTATCCAATGATGATCACTTTGGTCACACATCTCCATCACTTTGGGTATATATATATGTATATATATATATATATCGATTTGTCGGACGGAAGATTGTCACTTTGACAATACATTTACATCTCATTGGTCACAAACTTCCAGGTTATGCATCCCGAACACACGTTTAGGGTTACCTCTCTTTCCTTACCCCAAGAGCAACAGGACATTGCTTTTGCACACACCGTGCTTCTCTAAATGCGAGGCAAACGTCGCAACCTTGCACGTCTTTCAGAAATTTAGTGTACGCCGGAAAGCCTGCACACTCTTTCGCTCATCCCTCAGCATCTTCTTATAAAATGCTTGTGGTGCAGTGTCATTTTGATGACATGTTAGTCTGCGGAAAAAAAGCAAAAAGAGCCGCTCCCTAATAGCCGCTCCACAGATCAGAACAACTAGCACCTTTTTTGCAACATAAGCCCAAAGAATATCCCCAACTCTTGTTGCTATGTCTATGGTGGTGCTGGTGCTGGTGGTAGCTGTGATGCTGGCAGTGGAGGTTCAGGAGGATAAGAAAAGCAACCATTCAAACGAAAGCCGGTGGCGGACGCGGGGGACGGCACGCATATGTTCCAGCACAAAAGCAAATAGCAGCAAGTGCCAGTTGCGCAGCAATGACAATAGAACCGGTCGTAATTAGCAGCAACAAAAGCAGCAAAAAGAAGAAAGGAACTCAGCATACTAGGCGTAATAGTAATTGAGGAGTGGGAGGATAGAAAGAGCAGCAATTAAAATCACACTTGGGTGGGCCGCGCGGGGGAAAGGAGCAGCGTTCCAGAAACAAGATGTGAGAACTGACCACCAAGAGCCAAGAACCAAGAACCAGGTGTCTTTCAGGTTGGAGCCTAGGGTTTAAAACAAAGCAAAGAGAAGAGGATTAGGTGTGTTTAGGGTTTTGGCGTAAGAAGTAGGTGAAAGGTTGAGTCAACCCGAACTTTAATTTGGCAGACACCTTTTTATGGACATAATGGTATGAGTCTCCAAAAACCAGGAAACGACCACTGTTTTTCTACCTCACAGTTTTTCTACCTCAGAACAATGTTACAGAAACATGTGCTTCGTATTCTTACTGTGCAGGTCTGTGTTGAGCGCATGCGGAAGTTCATGCAAGAATCTATGCATCCATGTTGTGAAACTCATGTACATCGTCTGAAAACCATACAGGGGGGCGTCTGCGCCATTGCTTCTCGAGGCCATCTTGCCGCGGACATCGTATCGCCGATGGGGAATATTCCAGCTGCAGGAGGCTCCCTTCTTTTGTGGGGAGGGGGTTGCATCGGTAGCATAGCAGAATGCGGTGGAGGTGATGACGGCGAGTTTCCACGGTGGTTTCTATACAAAAAAAATTGGATTTGTTTTTCTTTTGGTGGATATCTGCTGGATCACAATCTGGATCGTCAATTTTTGCAGGTGTTGTTTTTTTTGGTGAGAGTGGCGTGTGGACATGTAGTGCTGTCCATGCCGACATCATCGGTACCTTTGTGGGCTTTGATTGTATTTGACTAGAAACAGTGCAAAAACTGATGGTCACAAGGTCAGGGGCCGGTTTCTTTAGTTGTGCAGAGCCCGGACATGTTTCTGATACGTTGTCCATTGTGTACAGTGATGTTAATCGTTTGAAAAGTACAGGCCCACAGCCGCGAAACATATACTATACAGCACTATGGCCAAGCATTGCTAAGCGCAAACAAGGACAGTTGGTACGCACATGCATGCCACTATAAACGATGTATATAGATATTTAGATAGATAGATAGATAGATAGATAGATAGATAGACAGACAGATAGATAGATAGATAGGCAGGCAGGCAGGCAGGAAGACAGATAGATAGATGGATAGCTAGACAGATAGATAGATAGATAGATAGATAGATAAATAGAGAGAGAGATAGATAGATAGATAGATAGATAGATAGATCGATAGTTAGATAGATAGATGGATAGATAGATAGATAGATATAGGTAGATAGATAGATCGATAGATAGATAGATAGATCGATCGATAGATAGATAGATAGATAATGATAGATAGATAGGTTAGATAAATAGAAAGATAAATAAATAGATAGATGATTAGATTAGATTAGATTAGATTAGATTAGATTGGACTAGATTAGATTAGATTAGATAGCTAAAATTAGGTAGATTAGATTAGATTAGATAGAAAAATTAGAACTATAGATTAGATATATTAGATAAACTAGATAGATTAGATATATTAGATAGATTAGATAGCTTAGATAGCTTAGATAGCTTAGATAGATTAGATAGATTACATAGATTAGATCGATTTGATAGATTCGAAAGAACAAATAGAACAGATAGAAGAGATAGAAAAGATAGAACAGATAGAGCAGATAGAAAAGATAGAACAGATAGAACAGAAAGAACAGATAGATTAGATAGATTAGATAGATTAGACAGATTAGACAGGTTAGACAGATTAGACAGATTAGATAGATAGATCAGATCGATTAGATGGATTAGATGGATTAGATGGATTAGATAGATTAGATAGATGGATTAGATAGATTAGATAGATTAGATTAGATAGATTAGATAGATTAGATGGATTAGATGGATTAGATAGATTAGATAGATTAGATAGATTAGATAGATTAGAAAGATTAGGTGGATTAGATGGATTAGATGGATGAGATGGATTAGATGGTTTAGATGGATTAGATGGATTAGATGGATTAGACGGATTAGATGGATTAGATAGATTAGATAGATTAGTTCGATCAGATCGATTAGATAGATTAGATATATTAGATAGATTAGATAGATTAGATAGATTAAATAGATTAGATAGATAAGATAGATAAGATAGATAAGAAAGAT